GCTCCTGCTTCATTTCCGCCTTCCCAATCTCACGCAATGGTCCTTGGGGCCCAGCTAACCCAGAACTATGCAGGGCAGGGAATTCTGGAAACAGTCCCAGCTAAACTGAGTTGATACAATACAAATCCACCACAGGGCTGCAAAAGGACAAAATATACTAAGAGCAAAATGAAGTATGTATTAAGAGGATTATCTACCACAACCAAATCAGGTTTACTCCAGGGAAGCAAGGATAGTTTCGCATTAGAAACATCTATTAATGTAATGACATCAGCTCAAACATCTCAGTAAGAAAACCAGATGATAATCTCAACAGAGGACAAAAAGATGTTCAGATAAAATTCAAATATTCACGCCTGATTAAAATAAAAAAATCCTCCCTAGAAATCTAGAAGTAGGAAGATACCCCCTTTAACACACAACGTTGCTTGTTGACATCCTGTATCATCCTTAATGTTGAAACACCAGAAACATTCCCGTTAAAGCCAGGAAGAGGCAGAGGTGCTGGATGTCTGTATTACTATGTAGCACTGTTCCGGAAATTCTATCTGATGCAATAAGACATCAGGCAGAAATAAAAGGTAAAATTATTGGAAAGGAAGACCAAAATTACTGTTATTTGCAGACAATATGATTATATATCTTTAAAAAACTGCAAAGAATCAGCTGAAAGCTCTTAACATGAATTCATAATAAGTAAATTGGTGGCATAAAAGAAAAATGTACAAAATCCAGTAGCTTTCCTCTTGCTAGCAATGCCACTCAGAAAACATGATGGGGAACAGAATTCAATCACAAGGCAAACCGGGAAACATTAAATACCCCACAGCGTTGGCATTTTTGAAGAATACAGATCATTTATTTTATTGAATGTCTCTTCATTTGGGTTTGGCTGCTGTTTCCCCATGATTAGACTCAGGTTATGCATTTTTGGCTGGAATATCTCAGAAGTAATGTTGTAGCCTTCTGTGTGCATCCTATTATGAGGAATATGACATCAACTCATCCCATTATCGATGACACTAACGTGGATCCCTGTTAACGTGGTATCTACAAGATTTCTCTTCTGCAAAGTAATTATTTTTCCCTTTGTAGTTATTAGGCACCTTTTAGGAATTTCTTTAGAGACCCTGTAAATATCCTGTTTCTACATGCAAACTTTTACTCATTGTCAAATATTGTTTTTGGCAGTGCTGGCAAGGATGGGCGAGATGTCCGTTCACACACAGCGCTAGTCCAAGTATAAATAGGTCACAGTCTCTGAAGGGCAACTGAGCAACCCTTCTGAGGAACGTTAAAAATTGACATAGTCTTTGATCTAATAATCCAAATTCTAGGAATCTGTTCTAGGAAGGGTAAAAATCAGAAGTGTGGCCAGAGAGGTACTGTTTTCATTTCATAAATTTTCATAACAGTGAAAATTTGGTGACAAAGTAAAAGTCCAACAATAGATGGGTGGATAAATAAATTATGATAGTGCTGTATGAAGAAATAATAGTATTCTTAAATACTAACAGAAAGAATAGTCACCAAATAAATTTACTTGAAGATATGTATTTTAAACTGCATATATAGTATGTACTTATAGGATATTAGTATTTTAGAGAATTTTAGAGAAAAACACACTAAAATTTTAATAGTATTTCTTTCCAGGGGTAGTTTTGCAGATAATTTTTGTTGTTTCTTTCATTAATTAATTAAATTAATTTATTTCTTTAGTGAGGAAGATTGGCCCTGAGCTAACATCTGTTGCCACTCTGACTCTATTTTTCTTTTCTCCCCAAAGCCCCAGTACATAGCTGTATATCTTAGTTGCAGGTCATTCTAGTTCCTCTACGCGGGATGCTGCCTCAGCATGGCTAGGTGAGTGGTGTGTAGGTCTGCACCCAGGATCTGAACTGGTGAACCCTGGGCCGCTGAAGTGGAGTGCACAAACTTAGCCATTCAGCCATGGGGCCGGCCCTCTACTTTTTCTTTTATATTTTGTTGTATTTTCCCAGTGTTCTACAATAATATACTTACACATTTTTTTATAATTGAAAAAATGTTAGTAAAAACCACCATGTAAAAATTAATTTTCCTGCAAATTTTCCTTGTATAAATTTGTGATCGATGTGTTACCTCCTCTGAAGTCAGCAACAGAGAGTTGATGGAACAGCTGGCAAAACAGGTGAAATCACTCTCTGTGTTTGGTCGTCGTTAAAGTATGACATGTAATATTGTACGATCACATGCATTTAGTCAGACCACTTTATTTATTAACATCACAGATTTCAATCAGCAATGTATTCAATAGTTAGGCAATATTTTATAGTTTACAATGCGCTTTCATATACATTATCTCATTTATTAAATGCTGACCTGTTTTAGGTCATTTCAATCTGATCATGGAGAACAATCTTAAAAATTTCATTGAAAACTGAAGTCGCTTAGCTTCTTTAGGCCTCTCTTTCCTTATTACAAGCATATCGTGGTAGAAAGGGTCTAGATCTGAGACTCCAAACACCGGGTTTGAGTCATCTTTCTGCTCCTGACCAGCAGTGTGACCCTCGTCCCATTCATTTCATCTTTCTCTGCTCCTTTTTCCTGGTCTTCAGAGCAAAGGATTCCTGAGGTTTCGTTCTACCATGTCAGATTCTTATATGCCGTGGGAGTTCCTTCCCTGCCCAATATGCTCGGTTCCTGTGGGTTGCTGCAGTTGTCAGCAAACATCAGTGTCCTTGCAGGATGTCTGCAAGCATCACCCCACGAATGTACCTTAGCAAGTTCACATCAGAAGAGAACTGTGTTTTATTTTGCCCTGACAATCGTAAGCACTGGGCAAAACTGTGTTTTCATTTCATTTCTTCAGAAACTTTGGAGTCTCCCTAGCATGGCCCGGGTCTTTGGTGTCAACTCCCTTCCCACTCTAATCCCCTTGAGAGACTGTTGGCCACACTGCAGCAAAAGCAACTTTATAGATAAATGCACAGCTATTAGGCATTATACAAGAGGGCAAGCCACAGGACCCAAGGTCCATAAACAATGCCTCAAATAAACACTTCCCAGTGAGTTGGGAGAAATATGTGGGAAGGGGAGTCATGCCCCCAATTCTGCTCAAGGAGACCATGCCTTGAGCAACTATTTACAAGAATGTGCTTTTTGATTGACCCTCACACTAAACTGCTCCTCCCCGTAAGAGCAATAGCACTTTTAATAAGATGAGCTCCTTATAAAACAGTTTGATTAATCCCTGAGTTGCTTCATCTGAGGTCTGCTTTGGATAAGGCTTGCTACCTTGCCAAGTTTTTAAGGAGTTGAGAAGAGAATAATATTTATTGAGGGCCAACCACAGTATGGTTAAAGCCGATTATATCAATCAACCCACAGCGATCTTGTGAGCCATCTTATCTTCTTTTCACCAAATGAGAAAAATGTCTGAAAGAGATTAAACGGGCTACCCTAGGTCACACAACTAGACAGATCTGTCTGACGGCATCTATGATCTTTCTATTGTGCTGTGGCTCTCCAGATCTGGGGAATACTGGGTAAGTTTCAGTCCACCTTCATTCTATTGCTATAAGGTCATTTATTCATTCAACAGACATTTAGCAAATGTCTCCTATGTGTCAATGTCTTAGTCCATTCTGGATGCTATAACAAAATACTGTTTCTCACAGTTCTAGAGGCTAGAAGTCTGAGAGCAGGGTGCCAGCACAATCAGGTTCTGGTGAGAGCCCTCTTCCGGGTTGCAGACTACCAACGTCTCCTTGTGTCTTCATATAGCAGAGAAGAGAGCAGAGGAAGCAAGCTCTCTTTTGACTCTTACAAGGGCACTGATCTCATTCATGAGTGCTCCACGCTTATGACTGTGTCTAATCCTAATTACCTCCCAAAGGCCCACCATCTAATAATATTATGGGGTAGGGTTTCCACATATGAATTTGGGGGGGGACACAAAAATATAGTCCATAACAGTCAGGAACTGTACTAGGCTCTGAGAAGTCATCTGTGAAGCAAAAAAAAGTTACTCCATCTGTTGGAGGTTAGCTTCCAGTCGGGGAGACAGATAATACACAAAATAAATATGCAAACAACTAGTATGTGCATGGATTTAGGAGAATGGGGGTATAAGTTGACAGAGGAAATCAGTTTTGGACGTGGGTAATTTTGAGATGTCTGTTAAATGTCCAAATGAGGGACGAAGTGGAGGACAGATGGAAATATGGGTCTGGAGTTCACAGGAAAGGTGAGTGAAAACACTTCACTGTAAGAAGGAGTCAGAGGAGAAACCATAGGGTTTTCTCTATTTGCAGTTTAATAGCCCCCAGTCTTGACCCTGTGGCAAAGGCCGAGTGAGTGCAAAGACCTGGAGGTAAGAGAAACAATGTGTCTTTGAGGAACTAAGAGATGCTCAGTAAGGCTGGAGTGTGGCATGTGAGGGGGAAATGGAAAGAGACTGGAGAATCAACCAGGGAAAGGACCGAGAGGATCAGAAGGAGCTTGGACTTTGCTCGGAGGGGAATGGGGGGGCCATGAGAGGGTTTAAAGGAGAGAAGGTGTGTGCTTTAAGAGAGACAGAACTCTGGCTGCAGTGAAGCCTGAATTGAAGGGCAGCACTGGAGGTGCGAGGCCCACTCAGTCTGCTGCAGGAGCCCAGGTGAGAGAGACTGGCGGCCTTAACCAACGCAGTGCTGAAGGATGAAGAAAAGTGAGTGGGGTCCAGTAAGGTTTGGAAATAGAATCAACAGGACTTGGTGATTGGTTGGAAATGAAGGGTGGGCATGGGTGAAAAGGGAGTTCAGGATTTCTGGCTTAGACACCTGGATGGATGGCAGGGCCACTTACCAAGATGGAGATTCAGGAAGAACACAATTTTGATAGGCCAAAAGGTGAGTTTCATTTTGTATATATTATGTTCAAGGGGGCTGTGGAAAATTCAGGTAAACGGTTGAGTGCGTGGAGCTGAAACTCGAGGGCAAAATGTGAAGTGCACTGGGGTATGCACAATCTCTCCGAAGTGGATGGGGGTCACCCAAGACTGGTGTAGAGCATGCACAGTGAAGAAGACAGAGCTCCAAGGAACGCTGCATTATCCCCAGGCACTATCTCACTGATCCTTTTAACAACTCTGTGAGTTGAGTTTTATCTTTTCTATTTTCTTCAGAGTCAATTGAGTAGACAACCAGAGGCATTTCCTAGCTCCCAGCCTTGGGAGCCCCCACCCCCCCAACTTGTGTAATATCTTGGACAGTGTGTCAAATCTGCTGACATGTGGGTCACACATTTATTACACGAGGTGCACTTGGTGCGTGGAAGCCTGTGGAGAAAGTTTGAGTACTGTCATGAGCCTGTTTTTAATGCTAGAATTATGTAATATCTCTTATCCAGGTTAAAATGAGAAACTCCCCCATTTTTGTAATTTTTGACGTAAGGATATTTGGGCTGACACTGCACTTTAGACCGAGAGCCAGGAAAGTTATCAGCATGGTGGAAGTCAAGCTGTAGAACCCCAGAGATCAGACACGACATAAAAATGGTCTTTTGATCCATTAAGGTGAAGAAAATAATTAAATTTCTGCATGTTCCTTCCAGTAAAATAATTATTCAGGAGAAAAAGTGGTCAGACAAAGAATCATTCCACAAGGAGAAATATCATAAAATGCAAAGTATTTTCTTATTACTTTTTTACTACCTTTTTCGTAGGCGTTCACGGGAGGAAAAGGAAAAAATTTCTACAGAGGCTTAAGAGAACCTTTCCATGAGGGCTGATCCCAAATACCTAAGACAGAATAGAGGCTTTTGAAAGGAACTTTTAAAAATAACGGGTAAGTGTTTTTTACTCTTGAAAAATTGTTATACTGTGTGATTTTAAAACATTTTAAATCCCTCAATAGAAATCCACAGAAATGCAATAATTCTATTGTAGGATACGCTGAAAATAATATTTAACCCAGTGACTGCGCATCAAAGTGAGAAGATTATATGCTAGAATGGCACATGGCGTGCATTCCACGGTCCGCATAGCTGATTGCCATGCAGTGCCTTGGGAGCAAGCTCCATGCTTTCAATGCCATTGTGTAAGTATTCCTGTTCAGCTTAGCCATGAGATATGGCTCCTACATTTATATAAAGGAGCAAAGAAAGTCATGTTCCAAGTTTGTTTCCACAGCAACAATATTCCATATTTTCTTCTTCTGTGTCTAAACATGAATAAGCTTCTACTAGAGAGGGTGGAATAAAATCCTTGCAAACACCAATTAAGACCGACTGTGAGTGTGAAAGCTCCAGTGATCATATTCATTCAACAAGCATTGATTACAAGTCTATACCCCAGGCTAGGAAGCATGTTAGTCCCTGAAGATGCAGAGATGAAGACCTAAGGCCTGCCCTCTAGATTGTCATATACTGGTGAGAGAGACAGCCAGGCAAAAGGATGACTTTAATGCACATATAATATTGTCTGAGCTAAATAGAGGTACGTTCGGAGTATAGGAGGAAGCAACTAACTGCTTGAAGAATTCATGGATATTTGACCTAGATCTTGAATAACTGATGATCTTTTGCAGAGAGAGAGAGAGAGAGAGAGGGAGAGAGGGAGAGGGGTGGTGGTTGGGGGGTTGGGGGGACAATTAAGGCAAAGAGAACTGTATGTTCAAAAACATACAGACACCAATAGAGGCATGAGAGCAATGTCCTTGAGGAAAGCACATTGGGATGGTTGGGAGACATGCAGGTGAAGAGAGTTGGGGCATAATATGGGGCTAGAACTTCAGGCTGGGGCTCTGTGAAGGACCATGTGTGCCTAACTAAAGTGTGAGGATTTGATCTGTAGATGATGAGGATCCATCAAATCTACTCAAGCAGAGGCGTGATCAGATCTATGCTGCTGGAATATTCACAGGAGCTGCAGAGGAAACGACGGGAATAAACGGAAGAGTTGGGGGTAATGGAGGTAGACAGACCCAGCTAGGATCTCACCGTTTATCTGAAGATTTGAGAACTTACTAAGATGTAAAAGCATATGTATAAGCTCTGGCTCCTAATAGATGACTCAGCAGAAGTTTGTTGAATTCCTTTCACCTTCTCTCCTTTCTCCTTCCAATTGTGTTTAACCTCAGAGTGGCAGCTGAGTGGGAGCGAATCCTTTGTTGGAATTTTGCGGATGAGGAATTTAGGCATGAAAAGAAAAACAGCTAGCCCAAGTTCCAGCCACTAGTAAGTGGCAGGGATGGAATTTGAACCCAGACATTCGGACTCCAGAGGTTGGGTGTGTGATCAGCACACTAAGCCCCCTCTCACTGCCTGGGAGCTTTGTTGTAAGGATTAAATGAGAGGACGTGTGTCTCTTGCTGAGATGATAACGTGGTTAACCCTTTGATGATGCCTTACTCCTCTCCCAATATCTGTCCTCCTGGTCTGTGGCCTTAACCTGGTCACTTCCCATTTTTCAGAGTCTCACCTTGGCCCTTGCAGCTCTGTATTTATCCTCATCCCAAGGCTACAACTCTTTCCTACAGTCTTCAGATTTTCTAATCCCAGGCCCCACACATACACTCCAGTGCCTTCTCACAAAATACGCTTCCCGTGGCCTTTGTGAAATAATGGAACCTCTTCATACCTGGTGCTTTTGCTTCATTAAGTACCAAAAGTGGGATGCCGAGGAGCTCCTTTTGACCAGAGATCTTGTGTGTTACAGAGACATTGATCAATGTTGCTGAGATGCTGCTCTACCTAAAATATTTGCACCCAAAGTTCTGAGCTGCTTGACCCAGGAGAGTCCAGTCCATTGGCTGGCCAGAGAACAATTCAATTTTCTTTCTCTCTCTCACTTCAACTTAAACTCAGAGAATCAAGGACTGAGATGCTGGAACTTGGAAATCAGGTGGAGGAGGAGCCTGGGCTCTGCTCATGGACCCATGAGAGCTGGACCAGAGAGGGAAGAGCTGAGGGACTGTGCAGCCCTTAACCTTGAGTCCTGACTTTCATTTACATGGGACCTTTGGCTATACTTTCTGCCCTTGGGGTCTATGAGATATGCCCTGTCTGCTTCCATAAGCTCTCCTTTGGGGTTTGTGTCATTTTCAAAATGGATTTCTGTTTCTTAAAATCAAATATTCCCCGAGTCTGCTCTAGAACCATGGATGGTGCTCTCATGTATGAGTTTTATGTGCTCTCAATAAACCCCATCAGAGCCGGATTTTTAAAAAGTGTCAGGGGAAGTGATCAAACCCCTGCTGAGATGGCACTGAAAGTAGATTTCTTTGCTCATAGCTTATAATGATGTAAAACAGGCTGTTTCCGCTGCCTCCTATTTTTTTTAACCTTCCAGATAGTTCATGCCACAGGTCTCTACAAAGCATTTCTCTACTTCTAACTGGCTTAAAATATTTGGTCAGCCATGGTCTAACCAGGTTGCTAAGTATGAGAACTAGTTGTAACAGCTAATTTTATAAGCCCTAAGAATAATGGTGCTGGAGAATATTCATGCAGAGTATGGGCTACCAATCAATTTTAGGATTCAGGTACTGCATCTGTTTGTAATTGCGCTAAGTCTGCGTGTGCACACACACACGCATGCACAGCCGGATTCCACAACACAAAAGACAGCACTTGACTTTTGAAAATACGTCTTTTTTGATTTTGACAGTGAGCTATGCCAGGTGGTCAATTTGAATGACCATTAATCAGAGTAATGGTGTGTCAAAGGAGGCAGGAATCATTAGGAAGGTATTGTCTCTGGAGGGTTTTGCAATTTTCCAAAATTATTTTTATCTAAAGAGACTTATGAGGCTCCACAGTGACATATGTGTCCTATTTACTCCATCAGAACCAGAGTGGCCTAGCACAGATGCACCAATGAGAGAAGTGCTAGATCAGGCTGGAGACGGCTGCCTTCTGAGGGGTCAGGGCAGACTGCAACAAGGGGTCAGCACAAGGACATCATCTTATCCAAAGGATGCATGTGTGAGGTAGGGGTACCCCAGGGGAGCGAAGGTCCTGCCTATTGCCAGGTCTCTGGAGACTGGCATCACCAGGGGGTGATGGGCAGGCTAGCCACGTGCTGCAAAAGGCACAGTGACTGGCGGTGGGATGGGTCTGCGTCCTCAAAAAGGGGAGGCTTTCTGTCACAGAAAAATACTCAATTTTAAAGGGACATAGTTTAGCTAGTCACCCTTGGATATCTGAACATTGAGATTAAACTGTAAAACTGTCATAAAAGGAAGCATGAAGATTAATAGATAAAATTCTTTAGCACTTTAATTTTGTAGAATTCAAAATATAAGAAAATGAATTTCCTGGCCTCTTGCCAAAGCAGATATAAATAAGTAGCGATCGAGACTCTAATTTCCTGAGGATCTTAATAAAGAGAAATATTTATGGTTTAAAATTACCTCTGAAATTATGCTGCAAAGAATAGTTAGTTTATGACTTCAGAGAACAAAAAGAAACTTGCAAATACTTGATGTTGGCAGATCAATTAAGTGGTAATACATGCTACATTATAATTTTAATCACCATGAAATTAAAATATGATAATGAGTGTTAACATGACTTTATCCTTTCAAACTATGATTTAATTTATGGAACTTTTCTTGACTACTTCCTTATTTCCTTGGTTATTTTTTCTTATTCAGTGTGCTACTTTAGATTACGCACTTTCCAATGCATATTATTCAAGACAGCCACCAATTAATGAGTTCTTCCCTTATCAATTAAGGATCAATGTAGGCTGTTCTTGCTCATTTTAATCTAGTTCTTTCTGCATCCCTACATAAAATTCATGGAGAATGAAAATAACCCTTCTTCTTTTAAAGGTCTTTTTGTTTTTCAAGGTGTTTAGTTTTTCCAGGGATACACAGATAACCCAAACGTGAGATTGCGCTCTTCAAAGGCAGCCTTCCTCTAACATATTTGGGGAAAGGGGAGGAGTTTGTTTTAGGCATCCATGTAGCAGCTATATGGACCTGGCGCGCTTCTCCTCTCCCATCTCTGTTGGTGTTCCGGGTCCTTTCCATGCTATGAAACCTCCATCCCACACTGGCCTCCGCGGATGGATGGTGTTGCAAGGACCGCTTTTCCCTTTACTGCTCAAACCTCTAATTCCCAACACCTCACTTTCAAAGCTTCAAGCTGGGACGTCCAAAAGTTGTCTCAATAAAGGAGAGGGAAATGTTTAATAGTACACCAAAAGTGACTCAGGCTGTCTATGGGAAATGAACAACAAAAAAGGATAAACTCTTCACAGAAGATCCCACTATGTCTCTCCAAGGCATCAGTTTACTCCTTGCATCTTGATGTTAGCCCTCCTCTCTGCCCCTCCAGATTACCCCTCTTCTTCTTCTGTCCCCTGCATGTAAAACTGCACCCCTCCTCCACAGTGAGGGAAAGCTCACTCCCTACCCATAGCTGTTGGTCTAACCCTAGAAGCCATTTATTCCACCCAATCAGGCAATTCCAGGGTCTCCATAACCCCATTTCCCAAACGCAGATTTTTTTTTTAGAATCTGCTTTATTCAGCCAAAAACATCATGAAGGGGGCAGGGTGGGTTAAGAGTGGGGTGCTGAAGCAAGACAGTCTTGGGTAGGTTTCTGCACTGAAACCAACATAATTTCCTGTCCCAGCAGTAAATGATGCTGCGACCAGGCACACTTTCCTATGCCTGATAAACAATACCGAGAGTAAGCAAACACAACTGAGTTGCTTGCTCCAGGAAACACCAACTCCTGCAAGGGAGGCTGTGAGCCAACTAAACAGTTAAATTATCAAAACTAAGAGCATGCTCATCAAAACTCACTTCAAAACCCTAACCTCACTGCACTCACCAATCTAAAGCTATTCTGCCAGAAACTCTACCTAAGTCAATTCTAATGACTTCCTTGCCTTGCAAGATTTGTCCCTGTCCAGGTCCTTGTTATGTGCTTCAGCGACTCCGTGTCAGCTAGAGGATAAAGTGAAAACTTTTGTAAGGTAATCCTGGTTTATCTGTCCAGCCTCATCTCCATCACTCCAACATTGAACTTTATTCCAGAACCCTGACGAATTTGTAACCACCCTCAACACACACGTGCATACCAAGATGTTTCACGTCTCTGTGCCTTCATTCATTTCTCTCATTTTGCATACCCTCCTCCTCTCTCCCTTGTTGCCTTGCGTAAGTTCTCCTCAACTTTCACTAGTCTGAGGCCTCTCTTCAGGAAGCCTTCGCTGAGCCTCAGGCAACATTAGGTGGCCACCCTTTCTCTTTTCTCAGAGCCCCTGTGGTCTTACACATTGCATTGGGCTGGTCCTGGCCTCTCAGCAGAGCTCCACGAGAACAGAAACTGTCATATGAGACCTGAAGATCTCCATACCCAGGAGTTCCAGATACACGGGAATGCTCAGTTGGTGTGTGGTGAACTGAACTGGACTGGATTTCGCCATCGTGGTACTGGTGAATATTTTTCTCAGTTTACTGTTTGTCTTTCATTTAGGTTGTGTGAGTTTTTGACATATAGTAGTTTTTATTTTTTATAGAGTCAGATTGATCTTTCTGTGATTTCTTTTATTGATTTTGGGCTTAAAAAGTGACGGACTGGTTTTTAAGAGCCTCTCCATGACTTGGCTGAGAAATTCTGCAACCTCATCCTGCTGTCTGAGATCAAGAAAGCAGCATAAGGCCCAGAAACAAGGAAGACATCTCACCCATCGATTAGAAATTCATGGCTCTCTTCCTTTCCTTCTCAGTGAGAGGTGGTATATGGGCCAAAGGCACAAGTTATATTTTGCATTTTAGCTCTTGTAATTTTCATCAATATGTGAAGACAGCTATCCTCAAGCTAAACAATTCCATTTGGTTTTAGGCCCCAGAAGACAATCTATACCTGAATGCTTTCAGGTAAAAGGAAAACAACATTTGCTGTTTTACTCTTTTCTTACTTTATTTTCTAAATAAGCATAACACACCACAGCAATTTACTCAGCAGGCTTCACTCACCTGGCTCTCTGCTTCACTCTTAGTTTTTCTCCATCTGAAATGTCTGCCCATCCTCCAAGGGCCAGCTCAAATGTTATAGCCTTGATCGGCTCCTCTCT